TGCATCAAGAATAGCAGCGGCTTCTGCGGAAAAAAACGGAACACTCCTCCGGTAAACTTTGACTTGTTGCGGAGTTTCTTCCTGCCACTCCGAGTCCCACTCCAGCCTGTGATCGCGATCCGTCCGTAAACCGATGAACGTGCCCCGGATAGACCGACCCAAGAAGTTCTGCAACTGAACGCCTCAACGCTACAGAGTTATCTCCGGCTTGGAATCCTCTCTTAATCCACTTATCTATTTTGATAACGTTAGATCGCCAACTTTTCTCTCCATGTCAGTGGACCCTGGCCACCGGGGGGAGGTCAAGGTTGGCTGCAGTGCGGAGGGCTCTGTTCCCCTCGTTGAGGAGAAAGACCCTATCATTCCCGGATGTCTTAGCAGCGAGGGCAGCGGCTTTCGTAGCAGTAGCTGCAGCAGATCGATAGCGGAAAGGGAGGACTCCGATTTCCGCACAAGCAGCGTCTGCAGGCGTGGAAGGTAGAAGGCCGGATACAATGCGTACGTAGGTATTGTATACCGGAGCGAGGATGCGGTTCAGCTTCTCGGTGGCTAAGCAGGTAATTTCAATGCCGTAGAAAAGTCGACTGTCGATAACAGCCCGGGCGACACGAAGGCGGATCTCGCCGTTACTGGAGCGGTGCGGGCGGGAGATTGTCCTGACGATGTTGATGCGGCTACGACAGTTTTCTTTCACCGATCTGAAGTGCTGGTCGAAACTAAGAGTCCGATCCAGAACTACCCCCAGAACACGTACTGTTTTCTTAAGCGGAATTGGATGGTCCTGGATGGTGATCGGTGGTTCCCGAATCAGATGGCCCGAGTGGCAGATATGGCACCGTACACTCTTTGGAGCGGAGAGCTGGAAACCAACAGAAAGCGCCCACCTGCTGACGGCGGAGACAGCTGCTTGGGCAATATTCCTGGTCCGTTTAGTCATTCGTCCAGTTACGACGATGAGTATGTCATCGGCATAGACGATTACGTGCACGTTCTTGGGCAGTCGGCTGAACACCCCGTTCATTGCCACCAGGAATAGCGTAACCGCTATGACGGATTCCTGGGGCACTCCAGTTTCCTCGGGGAACGGATCCGATCGAGTGTTCCCGACAGTCACCTGGAAGGTACGATCAAGGAGGAAATTCAGTACAAAGTGCGTGATGTGGCCTTTTAGGCCCCAGCCGATGAGCCGCCTGATGACGCCAGGCGTCCACGTCCTGTTGAACGCCTTTGATATATCAAGGGATACTAACTCCGCATGGTGACCGTTGTCCTGGGCTTCCTTGAGTACATTCCCGAGGGCTGCAAAGTAAGTGGAGGAGCCATGTCCTTGCCGGAATGCATGCTGCCGTTCGTCAAGGAGACTGTTAGACTCCAGGAACTGCCTAAGTCGACGATTTACCATTCTCTCCATCACTTTTGCCGCGCAGCAAGTGAGCGCAATCGGCCTAAAGGAGGAGGCTTCTCCACTCGCCGCGTTGTTCTTCGGATGGGCACTACCAGGCTTTGTTTCCAGAGGTCCGGATACGAGTCAGTGAGCCATAGGCCGTTGAAGAGGGCGAGTAGCCTCGTTTTTCCGTCGAGGGAGAGGTTTTTTAACACCGGGTATCCAATCTCGTCCGGCCCGGCAGATTTACCAGTACTGCTGCCGAGGGCAAACTGAAGCTCCCGGAAGGTAATCAGCGTCTTGTAAATAGTCAACTTCGTGCGGCGGCGAATTTTATTCGTCCTCCGGAGTCCAAAGTAGGCACGATTCCCTGCCATTATGCGTCTTTGAATTTCTCTGCTGGTATCATTTTCGGCGGTCACCAGTGAGCCCAAATACACGAACTCATCGACCACCTCGATTTCGTCGCCGTGAATCTGAACTCGGGGTTAAAGGCTAACATTGTCTTCCCTAGAACCAAGGTTGCAAAGACTCATTTCAGCTAAAATAATGTTTTTCGGAATAATAAAACCAAAAGATGGTATGATGGCATGTTTTACTTGTAACTTACAAGAAGAGGTTACAAAGAATGCGTTGGAAACATAAAACCTGTAAATTTTGCTTTCTATGAGTCACAATCAGCGATTTGCTGATCGCTGAGTGAGTGAGTGAGTGAGTGAGTGAGTTTGTGAAAAATCGCTGATTGCGACTCTCATGAAGTGAAATAAACAGGTTTAATATGTCAAACACATTCTTTGCAACCTCTTCTTGTATCCTACCAATTCAAAATTTGATCATGGCATCTAATTATTTCATAATTTAGAAAAACATTGTTTTAGCTGAAATGAGTCTTTGCAACCTTGCCTAGAACCTCTTCCTTTCATGTATTTTGTCTTTGATGCGTTGATGGCAAGTCCAATCCGCCTAGCTTCAGCTTTCAGTCTGATGTACGTTTCCGCCATCGTCGCAATGTCAATGACATCGGCGAAGCCAAGAAGCTGGATGGACTTCGTGAAGATCGTGCCACTCGTGTCTAACCCAGCTCTTCTGATCACACCTTCTAACGCGATGTTGAATAGCAGACACGAAAGTCCATCACCTTGCCGTAACCCCCTTCGAGATTCAAAGGGACTCGAGAGTGTCCCCGATACTCGAACAACGCACATCACTCGATCCATCGTCGCCTTGACCAATCGCGTCAGTTTATCTGGAAATCCGTACTCGTGCATACTCTGCCATAGCTGATCTCGATCGATTGTGTCTTATGCGGATTTGAAATCGATGAACAAATGATGTGTGGGCACGTTGTATTCGCGGCATTTCTGCAGAACCTGCCGAATCGCGAACATGTGGTCCGTGGTAGCACGGGCAGCCATGAATCCCGCCTGGTATTGCCCCACGAACTCTCTTGCAAATGGTGACAGGCGGCGGCATAGAATTTGGGAGAGTACCTTGTAGGCGGTGCTCAGCAGTGTGATCGCACGGTAGTTGCAGCAATCCAACTTGTCACCCTTTTCGTAGATTGGGCATACGACACAATCCATCCACTCCTCCTCCCAAATCTTGGCAATTACCCAGTGCAGCGCTCTAGCCAGTGTTTCACCACCGTATTTTAATAGCTCACTTGGTTGTTGATCTACACCAGTTGCTTTGTTGTTCTTTAGCCGACTGATCTCCTCCTCAACTTCCTGAAGATCAGGGGCTGGTAGCCTGTCGTCTTCTGCGCGTACTCCAAGGTCTGTTGCCGTGCCACCTTCGCTTTCTGCTGCATCATCGTTGAGGTGTTCGTCATAGTACTGACTGCCACCCCTCAATCACCTCACACTCGTTTGTGAGAAGGTTGCCGTCCAAGTCCTTTCACATATCGGCTTGCGGGACGTAGCCTTTGCGCGAACTATTTAGCTTCCCGTAGAACTTCCGTGTGTCGTTTACACCGTACAGATTTTCCATCGCCTCGTGATCTCGGTCTTCCTGATGACACTTTTTCCTTCGTTAAACCGAGTTTTATTTGTTCCGCGCTTGTCTGTATCGCTCCACATTCAATCTCGTGCGGTGTTGCAGCATTCTCGCCCGTGCTGCATTCTTTTCCTCTACTAACAGTTTGCATTTGCCGTCAAAGCAGTCATTTCTTTGGTCCGGGATCGCAGTGCCTAGTGCCGCTGCAGCAGTACTACCTATGGCGGAACGGATGTCCCTCCAGCCATCTTCAAGAGAAGCTGCGCCAAACTGCTCTTACATGGGTAGTGCAACTTCCAGCTGCTGCGCGTAGTCCTGGGCAACTCCGGCGTTCCGTAATTGCTCATTGTTGGGTCGCGGCGTTCGAGAGTTTTGAGCGCATGCATACTGCAGCTAGGTAGTGTTCCGATTCTATGTTCGCACTGCGGTACGTTTTGTTTTCTGAAGGCAAAATTACGCATTTGCGTGCACAAAACGGACGTTATTTTGAGTTTATTCAATAGATAAGAAAAAAAGCAATAATTGGTTTGGGGAAAATTCTTCCTAATATTTTCCAATCGCGAGATATTCGTGGTCAATCGTATAAATTCGAGATATTTAGCTTTTTTCAAGCGTCCTGGAGGAAACCTTACCTTAATTAAAAGTGTTTCTGGTTAATTGACAAGGTCATGTGGTATTCGGTCATTGCGAGAATTTGTATGTACCACTTCAATACTGTTACGCATTTGACCACAATATATTGGTTGCTTGGTACATTATCAAAGAGCCTTGTGGGTGATGTGGCTGACAGCAAAGCGAGCGAACGATCAATGAAAATTAATACTTTTGATCAGCATTGCAGCAGTTGAACATTCGTGTAATTTTAAATAGTGAGCTAATGAAAATTGATGAAGTGTTCATTTTAGCAGATTTATGGAAAAGTTTCCAATCGATTGGCTTGTTTAGAATTAAAATTCATCCATTATTGACAGAGTTATAAGTGGCGAAAACCTGACCACTTTTCGTAACGCGTTGGATTTTGGTTTTTTTGAAATTGCACCCCCAATATGTTGCCGAAAGACTTAAGATTCTACTTCAAAAATGTTTGTCCAGAAAGAGATATCTCTACTGCCAAACATCTGAACAATTCACTCAGTGATGCAGCTGTACTAAACACCCTCCTACTATCAAATTCCCTATAAAATGTTTCACTATTGAAGTCCTTTCACAGCATTAAAAAAAATGTAGCTCGTTGTTTTGCAATAGAAAGATTTTTATACAAATGAGCCAGACTGGTTCGGTACTGATTAAAATATTTAATGAATTCAAAGAATCATAAAATTAGCTGGCTTCAGTTAGATCAACGTTTCCCTATTAAGCTTGATTTAATTCAACCGACTACGCATATCAATTTATATTTTTTGCACTGCCACCGTCTGCCCGTCGAAAGAAAACACCGAAAAGGTGAATGACATAATGCGCAAAATTCGCAATCTCGCGACGCAATAAATTACCCCTCTTGAATAACTTAACCCACTGACCTTTGCGGAGGCCCGATAACACGGTTTATTTCGCTTCCTCGGAGCCACCCTCGCCACCACCCGAGTTTAAGATTGATTTCGGACATGCAGGAAAACACCAATTTAGCTACTGCAATATTATACACTTGTTGTTGTACTTGTTCAATCATACGCCTATCGTTAAGAGAGCACATCCTACGCATTCATTTATTAAATAATAAAAATTAAAATCACATGCCAGCGCTTTTTTATGCAATTGACTGCCTACTGTCTTTCAGCGAGAACCCTTATCCGATGAAGGGTCCCACGCTACACTACTTCAGCACGTCCTTTATACCAGTTAGTGGAGGCATCTCTTTTATCGTCTTGCGGAACTCGTTCAGCTCGCAGCACAGAACGTAGCCTAGCATGGGATTGCTGTAGGAGCTGTTCTCCCGAAGTGTGCTGATCCACGTCAACTGATCACAGATGCTATTGCAGAAGGAGTCTTTCACTCGTTCGGCGTCCGTTAGCTGTGCCTTATTGAAGACGGCAAACGCTACGGCTTTGCTCTCCGATTTCACCACCGTCCAGTGGAACTTTGGAACGGGGAATCGGTGCTCTTTCAGGTACACGTCAACGTCGTTGTTGTTTTTATCTTTCAGCGAGAGGACTCCGTGAGCACCGGTGTAAATTTCAACTTCATTGGCATTTAGGTCGTTTATGTCGTCGATCAGGTTGTCAAAGTTTTCCAGAGCTGACAAATCCTTGACGATTTGATAGTTCCAGGCCAGCTTCAAGATTGACTGGTACTGTTTGTGTGTCAGCAGGTCTTCGTTGACATATCGCCGGGATTCGATCTTGGGAATTTTCTTGTTGCCGAAGACTCCCTTGAATCGCTCCACTTGATCGTTGATGTTCAGAGCTTTGTTCAATTCAACTTTATACCGTGGGGTCACATGTTCCTTCCGGAAGTAGTTGGCACTGTTGACTGTTTTGATGGCCAGTGCTTCGACCGTATTGCTTCCGGATTTGAGCTTGGTGTGAACAAACAGGGTCTGGCCACGTCTGACGTCGTAGCAAGCTTCACCAAGGATGTAAGATCTGTTGTTCACCGGATTGGTATAGCCATATTCGATGGATCGAGCATTGGTTGGGCAACCTCGAACTGGAACGATGATTTCTTCGATCGAGCGAACTTCACAGGATAGCTCGGAGATGAAATTTTTGTCCTGGCCGTCCACAACTGAAACATTCCAAAGGAGACAAACATCAATTGAATAATCATCGAAAACCACCCAATTTCAAACAACTTACCCAATGTCTTATCCTTCTTGCATTTTGCTTTGAGCACCTTCTCCGAGGAAAACTCCCGGAAGTGGTTGGGTGCACATGATAGCAGCACTTCGTCGCCAACGGCCAGCGTGATGTCCTCCGTTTCATCGCTCACGCTCTCGGTCGAGATGAGGGTTCCGTCCAGACTGAAGATCAATGGCGAAAAGAACGACCAATCTGGCTTCAAAGGCAGGACGCAGTTCCGTTCGATCACTGAAACGATGAAGAACCGTCGAAAGAGAACTGATAAAATGTTTATGCTGCTGCGAGTCGAACTTTGATTACCAACAGGACACCGACAAAATGTTTCAATAGAGAACAGTGATCTTCATGCGCTACACTCGATGGACACGGTTAGGTCCAGTCAAAACTCTTTGATAACGGATTTACGGCCAAGGTTGCTGCCATTCATTTGTTGTAAAACAATTTGCTTCTGATTTCTGAAATCATTAGATGTTGTGACGATATTTTGCACATGAATGTTACAAGAAGGGGTTATAAAGTATGATTCATGTCAATTTCGATTTCAAGAAGAGTGAATATTCACCGATCATTAAATCGCAATTTGTGACTCTCTGAACGTGAAATTGATAGGTTTTATATGTCACGCACATACTTTACCACCTCTTCTTGAAGTTTACAAGTTAAAAATACCATTGTATCATCTAATGGTTTCATAATTTCCAATAACAGTTTTATTTTTATAGGAAATGAATGGCAGCAACCTTGTTTGCGGTGAGGGAATTTTAATCATTTTAACCATGCAAGGTCTATGGCAGACCTCGAACCAGTATGAACTGGTGCTTTCTTATCAGTGGCATTCATTGTGTAGTATTTTCGTGAACATATCGCTCTGAAAATAGTACACGCATAATCCAATCATTCTACTCAGTCAAATTTGGCAAGGTTTTGCTCAAGATCGTATCGTTTTGCGGCTGTAAGTATTTTTCTGTTACTATCGTGCTGATTGCGGTAGGCAGCAGCGCCAACTTGGCTCGATCATTGTGGTGGGGTACGATTATGGGGTTTACTCTATGCTCCTAGAAGCCGTGAACCTTGGATTGGAGCAATGCGAATTATTCAGTCTCATTTGGAGTTTGTATTCAAGCCTTGGATTATTCGATAGGGTTAACAAGGGCAACGAACTTAAGTTTGCTGGGCGGGAACATCTTATTGTGCTGTGACCAGATATATTTGTTTAAGAACACTGTAAAAGATACTGAGACTCCAAGCACACATCATCGGAAGACACGTGTGTATAAGAAAATTTGCGAAAAAATTAAGGTTTGTGTCTCAAGCACGATCGCATTAATGACGGAGGTCTACGAGATTGTTTTTTTTGCCTAATAATTTAATTAATAATTACAAAGATATGGATTAATAAATTTTATTCTAATAGGATAAACAAACATTCAATTCAAAGTTTTCAAAAATGGGGCATTCAATATCTTTAATTGAATTCAATTTTCATGTTTCAAAATTATTCCTATCCCATTCAAAATTAGGTTCCAAATATATACAACCAATGTTCAGGTACATATAAATAATGTTTATTTACGGTAACCGGAGTGAAAATTCGCTGTTTAAAATGCATTTCATATAACAAACCGGTGCAAAACACACATAAGTACGCTATATAATATTATTACATCTTAATGTTGCAAAATTATGACAGATAAACTGAATCTCATTTGAGTTTGCCCTTTATCTGCGTTCAAACAAAAATCTATCAAAGAGCGAGCGCCTGAATTCAATTAATTTAACGTCAATTAAATAGTTTCAAATTAAAATAATTTTGTGAGTTGAACTGTTCCATGCTCATAGGGCTGTATTTAAATTTGCAAACAATATGGTGACATTTTGATATGTCTTTGTCCGGCTTTGTTTTGCTGATTTATGCCATGAAAGTTGCAAATCGTATACTGACAAATCAATACGTTACAAGCCAATGCTTTACATCCGTGTATTCTACATTTCATAAGTAACGATGGCAGATGAATTAAAAGTTAAAGACAAAAGCAAAGTTCCAGTTGGAACGTAATAGCTATGAATAATAAGAAGAAATTGTCAAAATTTTGATTTAAAGAATTATTATTTCAAAGCACTTTTACTTCCCTGGGGACAGAATTCTGAACTAAATTGGCCATACACTAGGTCTTATACATCTGATCAACTTTTTCAAAAACAGCAACCATCTATCTAGTTGAGCTTATACGATAGGTCTTGTCATGCAGAACGGAAGACAACAAACTTCTATCTAGTCGTACTGCCAAGTTAAAGCAAGCAATAAGATTTCACTAGCACACTAGCGTCACCTGGTGAGTGAATTCTAAACTTATGCTATCCATCACCCAATAGGTCTTATTCTTTAGAACAACTTTGTCCAAGACCGCTACCTTCTACCTAGTGGAAGTCGCAAGTTAAAGCAATAAGAAGAGAAATGGTATACTACTGTGATGTACACCATCCAATAAGTCTCCTTCACTTGAAAAACTATTCCAAAGACAGAAATCTTCTGTCTACTCAATATGTCAAGTATGGCAAATAATTTATTAGTGCCACCTGGAAGACGAATTCTGAATTCAACTGTTCACCTTTCAATAGGCCTTTTGTATCTGAACAGCTTTGATAAAGACCGCAACACAGTGATGTCATCGAGGGGGGCGACTCTATCTACGCTGCAGGAAAGATTGTGTTGTGCTGTGGCTAGCTGCTCGCACGCTGAGTAGATAGAAAGAAGATTGATGACGATTCTGAAGATTTCCTGCAAAAAGATTATGCGTGATGCAAGGAGATGCGAGAAATGCAAGAAGATTTTTCGAAGATTGATTCGCTAGTGTGAGATTTTTTGAGCAACTAAAATTGAGATTTAGATGTGTCGCCCCCCTCGGATGTCATGGTAAATTTGGAACTGGGTACTCTAATTTTTCTCAATTTTGAGTAAGTATCATCGGCCGTGTACGGCGTCTAACGATGTGACAACCTTCACATTCTCAGACGATCTGAAAAATGTACAGGTAAACTCTTTTCAAGGGGTGGTCACTCTACACCAAGAAGTCATTGAACTGACTTTTGTTTGCTTGTGAATAATGCCTTGTTTGGCAACCCGGTATTTTAACAGCTCTTGTTTTTGTTTTGTTTTCAATGTTTTCAAAAACGACATGAAATCCAGTTGGGACTACACATTGGATGCAACCGTCTCCAAGGATGCCTGCAAAGGACGAGCTCATTTGCTACATGATCCTTCCATCTTCGGCGGAAGCCCGACCCCGCACAACGAACGTCAATCATTAGTTAACCAGCCCTTCTGGGATCCGGCGGAGGAAACGGATATGCACCGAATTTTTACCACCCGGACTGATGAAGGACGCACCGCTGACCCGAAACGGACCAGCCAGCTTCATTCAACCGGCACAGCAACAGGGTGCAGTGCTGATGGTCTACGGACTCGAAAACAACACAGCCAATACCGATAATCTGTTCAATCTGTTCTGCCTGTACGGAAATGTTGTCAGGATAAAGTTCCTGAAGACCAAAGAGGGTACCGCCATGGTCCAGATGGGAGACGTCATCGCAGTCGAACGCAGCTTGAACAACATTCCAATCGGAAATGATGGTAGCAAAATTCAGATTGCATTTTCCAAGCAGAACTACTTGTCAGAGTCCCCCAACTACTATACCCTGTCGGACAATTCGATCAGCTTCAAGGACAACAACACCCTCAAGAACAATCGCTTCCTTTCGTTGACCCAGGCCAGCAAAAATCGCATTCTCCACTTATTCAATATCCCACCCGGCATGTCTGAGGATCTGCTGCAGACTGCATTCACTACCAAAGACTAGCACCCGTTGCAAGTGCGAATGTTCCCGCTGAAATCGGAAAGTTCCTACTCCGGATTGGTCGAGATCTCGGGCGTAGCCCTGGCGGTGAACGCCATCGTGAATTGCAACCACAATCACAAAGACACAACATTTCTGTTCATTATGAAGCTGTGCTTCTCCTCCTCCAAGACGATGAACGGTGCGTGGAGCAACGTTAGCTTTGAAAGACCGGAAGCTTCTTTTTCTGAGAAAATAAAGGATTTTCCTTTTTCTATATACCTAGTTAATGTAATGATTCGTAATTATAATTTCTCATTGTGTTAGTTGGAAGTGCAAAAAGGCAGGAGAGTTAACATAATTTGTTGAATTATTTCGAGCAGTTCGAATGGTCTAGTTTTGGCCTAGGGTTTTGTTGGGTTGTTGACTTTCTGATTAAAACTCAAGCACCGCTTGTCGTGACCGGACCAAGATTTTCAGCGTCAGCCACGGCTACACGAATTAGCGATGCAGCTCCCACTGCTTCCAATGCTGCTGATGCTGTTCTTACTGCTGGTCCGTCTCCTCTAAAATTCGTCAAAAGAATGTTGTAGGAGACGGATCAGCAGCAGCAGCAGCATTGGAAGCAGCCGTGGAAGCTGCATCACTAGTTCGTGTAGCAGTGGCCGGAAACCTCGGTCAGGTCAACATACCGCTGTCAGCTGTTCTTCGTTTGAGAGGAAATGTGGACGCGACTGCCGTCACGGGTGTAACGATTTTGATAACGGAGTGTTGCTATGCAAGCGATTGCCCTGATTTCTTCATGCTGGGTGGTCAGAATGATTGTACGCAGTCCGGTGTGAAATGATGTACCTAGTTCTTCGGACAGGCATCAGGATGTGCGCTGACCATTCAATTTAAGAGAATCCGTGGCAAGACACGGTTGTGTTTTAAAATAATTTGATTATATTGTGGCAACATCAATAACACATTTGACACATGCACACTGCGCAGGCGCAGAAAAAGTTCAGTGTTGCCAGTAAGTTTAAAGATCAGAAAAACTGTAGCCACGGGTGCCAAACAGTGCCAGTGACTGTGCCCAAGCTAGTTTTTGGCACACTGTGCGGAGTGACCATCCCCTTGACTCTTTTATAACCTCGAAACCGGTCGTCTCTCTCTGTTCGCTCGATAGTCATAGCAAGCGAGCACGTTATTGGTTGATTGGGGACTAAAAGTTTGATCAATCTAAATTGTTTACTATTGATAAATGATCAAAAATAGTTTACTATTGATAAATGATCAAAAATGGTAGAGCTATAAGCGTTTAAAGTCTAACACTATTTCGTTACACATTTTTTTGATTTTCATCCAAGTAAAGTCCACATCAGCAAAATCTACGGCAACCAGTGGGATTTTAATTCACAAATCCCATACAGTTCACGGGAGCATTGCCAATTATACTAAGGGTACCGCTAAGGTACACGAGTCTTTGGCTAATAACATGTAGCATTCAAATACGTTGACCACTGCCGCATTTAATTCAGCAGCGTTCTCTAATACACTCAAGTCCTTTTTTAGACAGTTTTCTTTACTTCGTTCTCACCGCACCGTGATTACCTCTCACCCCAGCAGGTCTGGGTTCAATCCCAGTCGGCGCCGCCGGGATGTTCTGAGACATAACATCTCTGATCACGCCTGATTTGGAAGGGCAGTAAAGCCGTTGGTCCCCGGTTCATGAGTTGATGGGTTGATAGGTAGGGTCCAGGTGTGGGAAAAAAGAAGGATCTTGAATGTGAATGGGCCTGAGATAAGACTCATGATGTTCTGCTCAGAATGCAAAAACTGTCGCTCTAAGGCAACCGAGACCCTCATATTACACCGAGGAGTATAGCGAAATACACGATAAACAAGCAATTTGTCCATACATCTCTTTAAAATGAATGGACCTGGGATCGCGTTTTTCTGCTCAGTAAGCAGCCATTGCAACCGACGATCTTTCAAATACGAAAACTAAAAGCTACGAAAAAGCATTTTGGCCTTCCATAAGTTCCACTTTCACACGACTTTCAGTGTTTCAATTTGCTTCTTAAGCATTGTTCAGGCTATCATAGCAAGCCATTGATTTTCAGTCATATGCACATATAATCATAATTCATTCGTTTATGGAACTTTTTTGTGTAGCCTCGTATGTATTTGATCAGTACAGAACCAAATGCTTAAATATGTGGTTTGTAAAACGAAAGTACACACTAAGAATTTTTACAGAATTCTATTTTTTTTTACCGAATATGGAACAGCTGAATATTTGGCAATCTATTCGGTAGTTTTATTATTTACAATCCGTTCAGTAAATTTTCTTCACTCTTGAGCTGTCAAAATTTACTGACCTGGATTGTAAATTTTACAGAATAATTGGTAAAATATACAATCCTTTTTACCGAAATAACTGTTATTCATTATTTTCCTGAATGAACCATAATTATGATTTTTTTTATTGATTCATTGATTATTTCTTTCATGTGCTGTCATTAAATTAAAATGACAACAAAACAAACGATTCGTTTGACTCATAAAACGTTAGTTTTTGTATATTACCATCGTACGTTCGTACAAAAATAACATTCAACAGAGAAGGACGATGTTACTGACTCCGTAACAAACTATACACAAATTGGCTTGATGAACAAAGAAAAAATGGGTTTGCAGCGAGTAAGAGCGTACTAACTATAAGCTTCTAGTACTGCAAAATGAACTATTTGAGGTACTAGCATAAATGAGTACAATGCTAGTACAACGGTGTTCTTTGTACATATGTCGAAGGTCTTGAATGCAAATGCAAAGTGTGTGGCTTCTGGAACCGAGGAATCACCCAACACGCTCTGTAACGAATCCCTCTTACCTGTGCTGCTGCCAGTATGCTAATGCCGCGAACGATGCTTGGTGCTTCGCAAACGGGCGTGTGATGCCGAAGATGGTGACGCGTCAAGTATGTGCATACAAGGTGGGATATTTCAGTAACGCATGACAGGCGTTATCGGCAGGGTTGCCATTATAAACTTGTTGTACCACACACAAAGTATTTGTATTGCAATTTTATTATATAAAAAAAACGAACCACCATCAATAGGTTTCAATTCGTTTGGATTTATTACATTTCACCTCGAAAATCGTACATTCGCTCTTTTCATACGGCATTCTTACATGTTGTTTGACATCAATACATAGTGAGACAAAATGTTGGTTTAACATAAAGAAATACCGTTGCGGCAGAGAAGGACAATCCCTTTGTTTACGTTGTGTAGCGATATCAACTATTTGCAAGTGAGTACGTGAAACGAAGGTTATCTGTCACTTTGCAGGGGGCTTGGACACTTAGTACCTGCCAATTTTGCTACATGGGCCTCCCTTAGCTCACTCGGTAAAGGCGCAGCTACAAAGCAAGACCATGCTGGAGGTGGCTGGGTTCAATTCCCGGTCCGGTCTAGGAATTTTTCGGGTTGGAAAATTTCTCGACTTCCTTGGGCATATAGAGTATGATTGGACACAATTATACCAATCCAAAAATGGTACAGGCATCGAAAGCTCTCAATTAATAACTGTGGAAGTGCATCTAGAACACTAAGTTGAGAGCACGCAATAAGCTAATATGCGATATGCAATAAGCTTGAAATGCGAAGAAGAAGAAGACGAGTCCCAATAAGCGATTTTGTCATTTATCTCACCCACTCTTCACTCTTCACGAGGAGGCGATCAGAAAATCACTCATTGTGACTCTGTCAAAGCTTATTACCGGAAATGGATGTAATGTCGGCCTAAATGCTCCTAATTTGGGCCCATACATAAATTCAGCAATCGTCTAGATTTTCAATAGCAACCAAAAATATCCATTAGTACATCTAGATAAAATTGATAAATGGCAGATTTTTTAGCGATGGGCCCAACCATTTCCCCTACCTGCAAATTGGTTGAACATGTTTGGAACCTTATTTTGAATGAGATAGGAACTGAATTTTAAAATATAAAAATTGAATTCAATTAAGTTTATTGAATGTAACCGTGATTTTGAATTGAAAGTTTGTTTATTTTAGAATGAAATTTATAAATGAATAATTTTGTAATTATTAATTAAATAATTAAGCAAAAAACCAATCTCGTAGTCCTACGTTAATAATGGGGTCGTTTTTTTTTCTACTGTCACTTGTAGTTTGAATATAATTAAATGTCGTTAGCCACTGTATAATATTATCAAGTGAACAGAGGGTTAAACATCCTTATCTAATAATACGGGACTATTAGAGTTGACAAACGAAAAATTTCCTCAACTACATTAAATAGTAAACAACAACAAAAAATTTCTTATTCTTTTTTTTTCCTCGTCTCAATAGTAAACATTTGACTTCATTGGATCAACGCGATAAGGTAAGATTCTTGGGAAGAGCCGACTGAAAACGTTGTTTTCTTGAAAATACAAAAATAATGGAAAGTTTCACAGACAGCCAATAATTGTTTCCACTTTTCAGCTGCGTGAAAACACCGCTGCGCCATCTTCCATTTATGCTGGAAATTCGCCGATCTAGCAAACACCCGTTGCCAACCCAAACACAACAAAACACTCCCTCCGACCGATCACCAGCAGATTGAAACTGTAATAATGGCTCGTTGCTCTTCTTTGTTATATTTAAGCACTTTAATCAAGCGTCACTTTACATAAATTGTTTTTCATTTGACCTTAGTGCAGCCACTCGTCCATGCATGGATGTAGTATATACAACATTTCTTCGTCACAATCAACAATCATCGGCGCGAGATGGGATCACATTTTGCGCTGCCATCATCATAACAGGCAGTGTACTGAACGGGATGGAGGCGCATAGTCCTCCCAGCTTGGCTGGCATTTGCCAAACAGTGGCAGCAGCTGATTTCTCGAAGTTGTGCTTAATCTGTTGCTCTCAATCGGAAACACGTTGCAAAATGTTGGTGGACTATTTGAGAGCAACGTCACAAATTCCACGACACTAACGACCGAGCACTATTAGTTTGATGAACTATATTGAAAAATTGCATTTGCACTTCCTGAGAAGAGATCGTTCTGCGCTGCATGATCACTGTTTTCTAGAACACACCCACTTTTCGGGCGTCGGAACCTGTCTCGATAGGCTTGAACAACTTATTTGTAATAGAGAGTAGACAAGTACCATTTGCTGCGACGAAATGATTTCCAATGGTGAACACTAGAAACACTGCGAGCATCACTTGGATATTCACTAATTTTACCATTTTTTTTTTTGTTCTGCTTGACTTTAGTATATCACAGTTTAACTCCTATCGGGATCCACGGTGCAGCAACAGAATCAGCTCCGTATGGCGATTGAGTCGGTTGACCTGTTTCCTGTTCGCCACAGTTGGCTTCAGACTCCTTACTAGTCTCGCGTGCTTCGCTCAAATTCCAGATGCAACTAAGTCGAAGTTCATCCCGAGATCGAAATTTATAACCTCTGCAGATGTGTTTGTGACTGGTGATTGATAACGACTACTGCTCAAGTGGAGGCTCGTAGCACACGGATGAATGGTTTTTGCGAAATGAGATCACTTCGTTACGGAAACTGCTCGGTTTCGTGGACATTCTTAGTTGGGCCAAACCCTGATGATGAATGTGAAGTCAGTTTTCAAAATTCGACTGAATTGGAACAAGACCGACTGACCATTTGCATTAGAATCGATTTGATATTGGGGCTAGTCCCTGTAAACGCCACTGTAAATGCTGGACACTGGGAAGTTAGTAGCCGTTCGCAGTGAACTTCTTCAGAATGAATCAGAAGTAGATCACGATCAGTGAACGACGAGAATTTCTCTGAGTAGCAGCTTCTGTGCTCAGAGCAGTGCCGCCACTCTCTCGCACCCGGCTTTCTCCGAGCCAACTACCTCAGCACCAGTTGTTGCTCTTGACAGTGAGATTGACCGGCTAGCAAAGTAATTGATAATGAACTACAGTGTAGGAGTAGCACGATTGAGCCTCAACATCCATTAATCATCGTTTTACGCGACGTCTCGTATGTACCGCTACCTCCAGCAGATTCCACGCCAGACCAGTAGTCGTGCCCCGATGAGTAGTCTTCGAGAGGGATGGGTCATCATCATCACACACATGCTGATGCTCACTATACGACGCCACTACCACATGCTGACGAGAACCGGTGATAACCGGCTGCTGGAAACGGAGTGTGTTTATCGTCCACTATCGCACACGCGCGTCCTGCCAGAATGTCTGCGTCGCCTGTTGGCTGCAATGTGCCTGGTAATGTTGGATTCGCGCTATTTCAACACACAGTGATTACTCTTCGACGGTTTCTGCTTAGGCTACTCCCGGCATTTACAACTATACTCCCGTTACCTTGGAACGCAATATTGACGCTATAATCAGATCCGATGTTAAGATAAGCGTCCCACCAAAGGGTGAAGCCACACCCAACCGCAAAATGTAACATCCTAGAACAGATTTTGCATGAAAAAACATGCTGCATTTGTAATTTTTTATCGCATGAACAGATTCTGTCATGTGGTCGTCCGAAGGTTTTGACGATGAACTACGTGTTTCCTCACTATACTGGGGGTCACATTACGAAATCAAAAATGAGGCATGTAACAAAAACAGTGGCAGTTTTCAAACGCATATTTCTCAAAACCATTAATGGGAAATATGTCATGCAATATGTCATTCGACGGAGAGTTTATCCAGCAATGTTTTGGTTTATATTTCAAATTGTGAAAATATTTAAACAATTAGGAAATTAGACGAACAAAATATGAATATTTCACGAACTAATCAGAAGATCGGACGAATGGGATGATATGGATGCGATCAGATAGTCAAGCTGATCGGAGCTAGCAGATAACGTCAGAGGAGCAGCGGAAAAGGAATCTGCACACAACACCGTACAGTTTCTGAGCCGTATTGGATTTGCGTTGGAAAGAGAAAGGCAACTATAGCTAGTTTACACACTCATACCTCTGCAAATACCAGCCGGTCCAGACACTGCAGCATGGTGTAGTGATAAGAGCTCTTCGTCTTTTGGAGCTCGGTGATGACACTTAAAAGCACACTACGAAAAAGTAATGTAAATTGCGTTTCCCTGATACCAACCCATGTAGCGGCCCCATTGACATAAGAATCAGTTGAAAGAAACGAGAAAATCAACGTACTCTTCGTCGAGTTGCTTATGTTTCGGTTTGAGAATACTTGATTTAACATGAAATGTTTTAGTGTGAAGCAACTAGCAGTCAGCCTCAGAAGGTGTCGTCAATGATAATCATAAAAAAGTGAGATTGTGATGGTGAAAATAGCCATCAGCAATTTTGCTTGTGCTTGTGCCGTTAAATTATCTCTAGAAACTCACCTTTTACTATTCAAGCATTATCAGTAGAAAAATTCTTTAGAAAAACATCGTATCTTATTTCGGCTTAACACTGAGCCACACACAAATTAATCGCAATAAAAACAAATCTCAGCGCAAATTTAACAACTCTTATTTCAATCGCTACAGGGATGCATTATTTTAACTGTTTTCATTACATCAGCACGTAAATCTACTTGGACAATTTAACTCATTTTAACTTTATGCCGAAAATGGCTAAAAAAACTGCCTATTTATCCGCAGTTTGCCGGTGAGCAACGAACATTCTTTGCTCGACTGTCGAGCTGTTCAGTCCGTATTTTCGCTCGAGTTCTCGATTCAATTTTGTTTCGTTTTGTGCTGTCGCGTTGCGCCGTGGAAGTGTCGCTACCTTCTCGCGTTCTGGCAAGTTTAATTGAACTTGCAAACACGAAACAAATGGTGCGTAAACGTGCCTATGAGCCAGCAGCGGGCCCTTAAAAGAAAGTGCTAATCAAGCCCAGCGCGTCGCAGGATGACGCCGGAAAACGAGTACTGCAAGCCAAAATGGCGATGGTGACGCTGTTCCCATTGCAAGACGAGAGTGGATTTCCCCGCTTTTCACGCCGGTGAAGGATGTTGCCAAGCTGGGTGCCGAACTGGCAAAACACAAGCTGCTGCCTCGCTTCAAGCTTTGCAGCATCGGTACAAAAATCATGTGCTCCAGCTTGGAGGAGTACAAACAAATAGGAAGTTTCCTGAAGAACAACAACGTGGACTTCTTCACGCATGATCTGCCATCGAGCAAGCCACTGAAGGTGGTTTTGCGTGGATTACCGTCGTTCGAGGCTGCTGCGGTGAAGTCCGAGCTGGAGCGGCTTGGGCTCCAACCTGAGGCCGTGTTCCAGATGAACCGGCGTCCCAACCAAAACACCAGCTTCCGTGATCAGTTGTTCCTGGTGCATTTCACGAAGGGATCCACCAGTCTTGCGACCTGTTTCAGGTCATCATCAGTTGGGAGCATTACAAACCCCAACATCGTGATGTAATGCAGTGTATGAACTGCCTCTCATATGGCCATGGCACCAAAAACTGCCACATGAAGACAAACTGCGGCAAGTGTGCTGGAACTCACTCAACTGCGTCCTGTGAGCAAGTCGATGACATCGAGCCAACGTGTGTCAACTGCGGTGGAAACCACCAAGCCTCCAATCGCGGATGTCCCAAGCGAGTGGAGTTCATTAATATCCGTCGGAAGGCCACAATCAACAACCAGCTCGGTCGCCTTCGTAATCATCGTTCGCCTCCTGTACTAACGGAAGTCCAGTACCCAGCTCTCCAGCCCCGTCGACATGTTCCGAACCTAGCCCCGCTTCCGCTCAACAACCAACAAGCCAATCCCGCGAGTATCCAAATGGTTCCCAACAGTCGGACAGTTCAGCATCGTCTCGCTGTTGCTGCGGTTCAGCCAATTCCAGGCTCATCCACCGCCCCTGGTTTATCATACGCTGGTGCTGTCTCAGGTGAATCTATCGACGATTCTCCGTTCACCTCGGAGGAACTTGTGACGCTCGTGGCCGAGGTCATCATCATCATGCGTACCTGCAAGACTCGATCTGAACAGCTTCATGCTGCCTTGTCACTCGTCACCAAGTATGGACCGTGAAGCTATAAAAATTGCAAATTGGAACGCTTGCTCACTGACGAACAAGCATAGAGAGCTACTCGATTTCCTCAACGCCAAGGAGGTCGACATTGCTATCATCACCGAGACGCATCTGACGCCCGAACTGAACGTATTCCTTCCCGACTTCCGGCTCGTCAGACTTGATCGCACCTGCTCTGGAGGTGGAGGAGTGGCCATCGCTGCAAGACGGAACATCAGTTGCCGGTTGTTACCAAACTTCCAGCTGAAAACAATTGAAGCCATCGGAGTGGAGGTGAGCACATCACTTGGCCCAATCACCATCATCGCGGCCTACTGCCCCAAGCAAACCAACATCAGGGACGGGTCGTCAGTGGCCCTCCGCAAAGACATCATCAAACTCACCCGGAGGAGCGGGAACTTTATCATCGCTGGCGATCTGAACGCAAAACATCAAGCTTGGGGCAACGGTCGGAGCAATAGAAACGGCATCATCCTCAATGAAGACCTGCAAGAGGGCCACTATACCATCTTGGCCCCGGACTCTCCCACCCGGTTGAGTCGGTCTGGGGTCCATGCGACCATCGACATCTTCGTAAGCAACATGGGACACAACGTCTCGCAACCTGTGGCATTCCAGGAGCTGAGCTCGGACCGCTACCCGGTGGTGGCCGAAGTTGGATCCTCGGTAAACCGATTCGAAGCTTCCCGGCGCAACTACCATCGAGTCAACTGGGCGCAATATCAACTCTGCGTCGACACAACCATCGACTACGATGTCCAACCGGGGACGTCGGAAGATGTTGACCGGTGTCTACAAACCATCGAGGACGCGATTTCCCGGGCCAGGGAACAACACGTGCCAGTATCCAGACAGGTGAGTAACACTCTGAACCTTGACAGCCCTACCAAAGATCTCATTAGACTCCGTAACACCATTCGTAGGCAGTACCAGCGTACTGGCCTGCCTAACTTGAAGACCAATTGTAATCGATTAACAAAGATCATTCAGGCCAGGATGGTGGATCTCAGAAATAACGATTTTGCTAGTAAGATCCGCTCTCTCCCAGATTATGCTAAGCCCTTCTGGAAACTTACAAAAATTCTTAAAAACAAGCCTAGGCCCATTCCCCCACTGACCCCACTGGATCGTCCCGGCGACCCAGTGGTTCATCTGATAACTCCTGAAGAGAAGGCTGCCGCGATAGGTCAACACTTCGTCAGCTCCCATAATCTCGGACAAAACATCGTCAGCCCTCATGAATCTGAGGTTGCTGAAAATGCAACCAATCTTCTTCAGATTCCTAACATTTTTCCAGAGGAATCCGAGATTACGGCTGACGAACTGTTGGCCTATATTAAATCATCTAAAAACATGAAGGCCCCAGGTTTCGACAACATCCTGAATCTGGAACTCAAACACATGAGTTCCAGATTCTACAACCATCTGGCACTGATTT